AGGGCCCCTCGCTGTCGGAGTCTGGTGGCAGCTCCAACGGCTCCTGCTGGGCCACAACAGCTAGCTATCTTTTAATTTGTCACTTGCTGCACATGGAAAATTATTCTATAGCAAGGAAAAAACCCTGAAGCTGCTGGTTAGCATCCATTTCTTTAAGCCACTGAATTGGATAGATTGGAAACATTTGACATGATGTTAAGCTCTTTTTACTTTCTTTTTCTGCCCTATGTTCTATCATGAATCCCATCATGAGATAATGAGAAGTCAAAGGTTCACAAGTTTCAGATAAGGTTTAAATTTCCTTTTCTGACTGACTTTATCATTCTCTCCTCAGGCAAATATGAGGAATTGAATGTCCTTTCAGAATGAGGTGGTTTTTTTTAACAGATTTCTCTTTTGGCAAAATGCAACCACGATAAAATGCAACTGCTCCCTGTAAGAACAGCTGTTGCCTTCAGCCCTTAAATCACAGAAAAAAAGACCTGAACTGAAGCAAGAGACATCTTAAAAAATAGAACTCTGTTCTGTATAAGAGCAACTCTTGCCTTCAGCAATTAAGCAGTCTTTGAACATGACAAACTGTTTTAGAGAAAAGCCCCCCGATTTCATTATTTCTGCAAATACTACTCAAATCCCAGAACACACTGTGCTTTCTGGTACTTCATGTCTAAGCAATTTCAAATATGTCTTTGTAAGTGCAAGCCAGAGCAATACACACATTAGTCACCCATACTTTATTCACACAATGTGAGCTTTGCTAAATAGTTCAGACAGGAAGCACAACCAACTGAATGATTATAGAATTTTGCAAATCTGAAAGTACATCTCTCCCCTTTCGTCTTTTCAGCCCAAGAAACTAGGGAGTGTCAAGTGCTTGATGCCAGGTGCCAGATTAACAGGATAGTGAATCTCTCCAGTTATTCCTACAATGTAGAAGATTCCTGGAAAATCTTTCTAGCTGTATTGAATGGAGGGAGACACATGTGGAAAAAATGGCTAGGTTGGGTGTATTTTTCAGGAGCCATTAGCCACAATTAGCCATCCATGCCTTATGCATCTCAGACTACCAAACTATGCAGAAAGACCATCCCCTTTGTTCTGTATAATTATGAACTTCTCATTGGCCTTTTGGAAAGAAGGTACAGCAATAGATGACAGGCTGATCCTGCTGGTAGGGTCCAGCCATACTCCAAATGCAGTATTCAGTTTGATCCTAAAGATGTGGCATTACAGACTTGCTTAAAACTGTATATATAGTTCTGACAGCCAGTTTCCTTTTACATAGAAATTATAACTGCAGTTCATTGGAAATAAGGTGAATAATAGAATTCTTAACATATGCTACTAATTTTTCAGATTCGATTGAATAGCCGTGGACTTATCTATTCTGTGGGCTTGTTGCTGGCTTCAGTTTTTGTCACAGTAAGTATATATTTCTTTATATTTTAAAAAGGAATTGTAGGCATATTGGCCATTGTGGGTGAGGGAATCTAAACTCCACAGAGGTAATACCTGTGGCTGATCTTCAAACTGTATCAGTACCAGTTCCCATGTTTAGATGGAAAGCAAAGGAGCATTCAGACCTGCAAATTGGATCTTATCTTATTCAGTACCAAGAATGAAACGGAACAGTTTCTTAAGTCAGTGTGGTTGAGAAACATAATATGCGATATAATAAATCTGTTGGGTTATTCTCATAAGGATCTCTTTGTCAAGGAACCTAGGCCAGATTGTTGCTCTTGGAAGAGGAGATGCTGCTGATTTATAAGAAGGATTAAAGGAGAGAAGATTATTCGGTTCCACCACAAAATCGCGGAGGACAAAAGCGCGCTCGACAAAAGCGCGCATTTGACGTCATCACAGCACGACGAAAACATCGCGCTGTGATCGAAAAATGTAAAAATAAAGCNGTTTCGTCGACGCGCTTTTGTCGAGCACGCATTTGTCGGTGAACCTAAATGCCCATCCCATGGACAGATGTATTGTAGAAGATACACTTGCAAATGACACTCACATCCTACAATGTAATTTTGTTCAGTCTGTAGCAATGCTTCTTATGCCAGGTTTAAAGTGTGATTTCTTGTGACCTATGTTCAACCAATCTTTTCTTTAGATATTGCCAGATGATTGTGAAGTGCAATCTAACAAGCTTACAGTACATTGATTGACAGATTTTGTTTTATTTTTAAAAGTTATTTTTAAACTTTTTTGTCCTGTCTGTGTTGTACTTATCCTATATTCTCCCAAAGAGAATGCTAATCTAATGCTAATCAGGTGTGAAATGCTGAAAATTTAGCATACTTTTCCATATAATTACGGTTTCCAGCAGGAAATCTGGAATGTTTACGTAATGCATGCCAAATTGGCAATGGAGGACAGGCAGTTTAGCCAAATGCAAGCGGAAGGTAACACTGTACTGTTAATCTGTATCAAATGAATCTAAATTAGCCTGAGAAAAGGCAGCACCAATCTTAATACAAGTTGAATGAAGAAGCTAGACAAATATCCATTGGAAGCAAAACAAATTAATGCAGAAGTAAAGGATGAATTTGCATAGCCTAGCTAGGAGCAGTCGCACAGAATGTTATGCAGCCAAAGTCAATGAACTGGTAGATAGATGTTCTATATGAGGTTGGCAATGATTACCCTATGTTCATACACGGCATCTTATGAGAATGAAATAGAATAGAATAGAAGTTACAGAGTTATAGAAACCCTGTACCATTTTAGACAAATTGTTGTCCAATCTCTTCTTAAAAACGTGCAGTGTTGGAGCATTCACAACTTCTGGAGGCAAGCTGTTCCACTGACTAATTGTTCTAACTATCTGGAAATTTCTCCTCAGTTCTAAGTTGCTTCTCTCCTTGATTAGTTTCCACCCATTGCTTCTTGTTCTACCCTCAGGTG